AAGAAATGCCAAGTGTATGCGTGCAGGCTACGTGCAAGTACCTGTGGCATAGATGGTAATGTATTGCAGGGCCGAATCTCTTTGCAGAAAAACTCAAGGTAGATACCCAACCCAAAAGACATCCGAACGGCAAAGAGAGGGGCGATGTCCCTTTCAAATGTATTTTGACTGGTTGTCGAGAGGGGAGGAGAGAAATCAGTTTTCTGCTGGGGGAAGAAATCACTGCTGTGCAATAGAAAAAGAGGTTTTGTGGGCAAAGACAGTGATGATCAAAAACAGACGTATGTCACAAGGAAATAAAAAGGTGTCTGAATATAGGTAGGGCTGTGATCTGTTCCGTCAAACAAAAAGGAACTGGTGTATAATGTAGAAGGGCAAATAATTTGTTAAGGTTTTCAGGGGGGGTGTTTTTATTCTCTCCTCTCCATCCCCTACTCACAGTGAAGCTGAAATGATGTGCTACTGATAGCCTTAATTTTTCCCCCTCTAGTCAAGAAGAGGACGAAGATGCCTCTTCCCAGTACTACGTTCCCAGCTACGAGGAGGTGATGAACGTGGGCTACTCTGAGCCCAGAGACTCGGACAGGAGCAACAGGATCAGTGTCTCCCTGCCCTCCTACGAATCGCTGACGGGGCTCAACGAAAGCACCCAGCCGCCGGGAGCCGCCGGCGCAGAGCCCGGCATGGAGCGGCAGCCCGGCCGGCACACCCCACGCCTAAGCAAGCGCCTGAAGCCGCTGAAGGTCCGGAGGATCAAGTCGGAGAAGCTGCACCTGAAGGATATCAGGCTAAACCTCACGGAGGGGAACAGCACCGCCCCTATCACGATAGAGCCGCTGACCCCTCCGCCCAAGTACGAGGAGATCCAGGACAAAGTGCCAGACAGCCAGCAAATGACTTAAAAAAGAGGAATCTGTGATGCTGCTGGGGTTTTGGGGGGGTTTGTTTGGGTTTTTTTAACACACCCCCGCCCCCCCCACTAAGAGGGGCTCGGTCTGTGGGTGCAGAAACGGTCAGGGCTCCCTGGAAGCTGCGATGTGGAGGACACGATGGGCGCGTAGTGGTGCAGCACGGGGGCAGGACAAGCTTTCCCCAGGATGGGGGTTTTACAAAAGACCATGGGGAAAGAAACCTGAATGCCAATAGGTCTGCTGCTCTGAAGGAAATGAAGGCTGGAAGTACCAAAAGTGTAATTTGTGGTGTTTTACATAAGGAGCACCCAATATATCTTCTCACCTCCTCTCCCCCTTGACCCCAGCAAGACTTTTCCAAGCCACCAAACTGATACTGAACAAGGATTTTTGGTGGAAAAGGGAAACGTTCCTTTTTTTTTCTTTTTTTCCATGTCTTTTCTTTCTGAGTAAGGGAAACCACGCTGCCAGAGTAGCACTGCAGCTTTCCCCCGCTCCCTTCTGGGCTTGGGATGGTGGCCCGGGGTGGCACAGAACCCAGCTCCTGCCAAGGTCTGTGCTTGCTGGTGGGAAGTGGGATGAAACGGGCCCTGTGCTCCTCGGGGAGAGGATGGATTTCTTGCCTCGGTTGTTTTCTCTGTTGTGTTTTGTGCTCTGATGCGAAGGGACGGGTCTGATTGAGGCAAGTGGATAAACCCAGGGGGTTGGGAGCCGTCTGAGTGCACCGCTGCCGGGAGGTGTGCAGGGTGAAACGATTGCTGAGCATGCCGTGTGAGCAGACCTGTTCCAAATAAATATTTTGTACGTTGTGTTTGTGTGTGCGTGTGCACTCGTGCATGGTTGGCCCTTCCCAAGATTTGCAAGCTGGAGCGGCATAAAAGCAGTCAGCTTTTATAGGGGGGGTGCAGCTCCACGGGCATCCCCAGCCGCGTGCTGCCTCCCGGGCTGCCAGCAAAGCTATCGACAACGGTCGTCAGCATGTTCGGCCACGGGCTCCCTCGAATGGTCTGAATTTTGACGGTGTGGGCAGAGAGCAGAATCTCCCATGAATTTGTAGCGGAGGTCGGCGTGGCCAATCTGTGGCCCTCTGCCTCTGGGCTGCCGAGACGGATGTGGCTTTGTTGGTATCGATGTGGGTAAGGACCATGCGACAGAGGCTGACTTGGCAATACGGTTGATAATAAGGTACGAGAGGGGAGTGCAAGTGACCGAAACGAAGACAAAGAAGAGGTGCCGGTCCAAATCCATGTGACAGTTTATCTTGTCAGTTATTATTTCATATTGCGTCTCGTAATTTCTGTTGTTGTATCACAGGAGTTTCACTTTGCTGTGCCCCAAGGCGTGATCTCAGATGGGCAAAATAACATCATTAAATAAGGGACTCCCTTATTGAAGAGAAGGAAAAAAAATAGTAGAAGAATATAGCCCAGATTGAGGGATGTGGGGTGGGGGGTCCCATGTGGTTCTTGTTGCGGGGTTGGAAAGGTGGTGCAGCTCCTTGGAAGTTGTCTCCCAGGCGCGTGTGCCCCTGAGAGCCTGCCCGCAGCGGGAGGCAAGGCATGAAGTCCTCTCTCCCTGGTGAAGAAACACAACCCTAACAGTTGTCTTAGAAAATCTGGGTAAATATTGGGTTAATAAAGCGAAGCCTCTTGTCTGAGCAGTTGGGAGTTGAAGTTTCATGGAGCTTCTTTACCAGAAAGTCCCACTTAATGAACCAGATTGGCGAAAGCAGGATCTTTCCCAATGTCTCATGTAGGAAAAGAGCTGAAAAAATGACGTAAAGTGGAGTGACTGCAGTGAAACGGGCTGTGACTAATGTAGTAATTATGCGAAAAATGCCCGAATGGCTAATGAGCATCTCCGGCTACTTGCATACTCGCCCTCTGACGGTATGTGGAAAGCAGAGGGAGATGTGGGACGCTGAGAAGTGCGAGTGCTGCCAGACCTGTGACCATCGCTGTCCTAGGACGGCTCCTAGGCATGGATGGATGTCCTAGGATGGCATCCCAGGGTGGCTGTGTGAAATTGAGGTGGCACTGTAATATATTGTAAGAGAACAGTTATTCCTGAAGGTGAGTATGATGGAGATGTTTTTCCCAGGTAAGACACGCTGGTAGGTGAGAAATCGGGATGTGTTTCCCCATGCAGTTTTTAAGATTGCACGTATGTTCCAGTGTCTCTGGAAGGTAACTCGTGTTCAATGGCAACTCACCAAGATGTGCAGACCTGTTATTAATGCGACTGAGGAAGCCTGGTGATTGTTAGTTTTAAAAAGCATCGCCGCCAGCGCTGGACTGGGGCTGGAAAACCTCGGCTGCTGCGTTTAGCGCAAAGCCCTTGCGAGGAAAGGGAGGGAGGAAAACGCTGGCGGTGGGGGCCAGCACCGGGGTATGTGCTGAAGTACTGCTCTCGGGTTCCCAGCGGAGCGCTCCTCTGCAAAATCTGCTGCTTCTGCCTCCAAATTAAGCGTGATAAAATCTTGCAGGACTTGCTAGCTGTTCTCCTGTAGCAGTTTTTTGTTTGCAGGTGCCAGCGGTGTCCGGCAAGCCGGGGGTGACGAACGGCCACGGCGCAGCTTGACCGTGCCCCCCCCCGGTCAGTAGAGCGGCCCCTTTGTCCGGGGTTGGCATTCAGGTCCTGCCAAGCATCGGAGCAGCGCTGGGAATAGCGGGGAACCTTTGTTTGCAGGATATTTGTAGATGGGCAATTTATTTTCGGGGGGAAGCGCTGTGGTTTCGCGTGCGTGCATCTGAACTGATTTGCCCTTGACTTGCAGCCCGGCGGGGCAACAGCCGCTCTCGCAGCACAATGCCCGCTCCTGCTGTCTGGGTGCCTGCGAGTTTGGCCAAAGGGCGAATTCGTGCTCCGCTTCCTATGTGTTTTGGCCGGGTGATGTGGGAATTTCTCACCCGTGGGAGCGGGTACTGGGCCAAAAAGCGATCTTGGGGTTTGCTGTTAACAAAAATGCAAGGCTTAGGCTCGTTTCCAGCAGGCCTGGGCAGCTTATCAAAAGGATTATAGTCGTGTTGTATATGGCACAACACTGGGGTTGAGGGAAATGCTGTGGTTTGGGGCGATATAGGGCTGCCGCGCTTCCCTCCTTCCCAAAACCCATGGGGGGATGTGGGTGCTCAGGCTGCGCCCAGCTCACCAAACCACCCGCCTCCAGCCAGTCAACGGCACCCGCAGCCGTGCTTGAAAGACGCGCTAACAAAATTCGGAAGGCAACGCAGGGAAAGGCATGGGAATTAGCAGAGCGCAGTGGCGGGAACCCGCACTAATTAGGGGTTGTCATCTGGGGTGCCGTTTGCCAGCGGCGAAGGGGAGACGGGTTTGGATGGCAGCGGGGCGGGAGGTCGGGGTCGGGTGCTTGGATGGGGGGAAAAGAGGCTCAAGTGTCACCGGCGAGGCCAGACCGGAGGCTGCCCGGCGGGGTGTTGGTGGCGGGTGTGTTATTTTCCCTTTTTCTGCTGAAAAAGGGCGCGTGGCAGCCTGAGACGAAGGCACGTTGAAGGAGAAACGTGCCGATGGGTGACAGCGTCCCCATCACCAGGCGGCAACGTTTATCCACTTGCCTGAGGTTGCGAGACCTGTTTGGGCGTGCATGCACGGTATTAAATAAAAAAAAAGTAATAAAGGGGGAAAAATGTTCACCGGCAGCTTGCACGGCCCCCCCGCCCCGTGACGTGAGGTTTTTTTTGATACGTGGGGAAATGTTCCTCTGTGTGTCACCCGCTGGCAAGGAGAGCTGCGGCCGGCGCGGAGCTGTGTTGTGCTTCCGGGCCAGTTGCTTGGGAAAAGGAGAAGGGGGGGGAAGAAAAAAAAAAAAGGGCAAAACAAAGAGAAAAACACACCCAGGAGGGCGGCAGCGGGCTCCGGCGTGGCCAGGGTTTCCAAGGCTACTTGTGAGGCTGCGGCCGCGCTGCCGGCCGGGGCAGAGCCACGTTTGGGTTGATTTTGTGCAATTTCTAGCGCACGAGTTGGTCAAGACTTTCTTGGCTCAGTTGTGTGTGTGTGGGGGGGATGGGGGATTATTAAATGAATAGTTGGGTTTTTTTACGCGAGCCTTGCAGGTGAAGGAGCTGGATGATGCAAGCCTTTCTAAAGAGTTCGGAGGGATGTTTTCAGCTGAAACCGCACACGACGACAATAGGCAGGCACGAAGGGTCCGACATCGTCCTGCAGGTAGGGGCGAGGAAGCCGCCCAGCCCCTGGGCAGACGCGTGCGCTGGGCGTAAAACGGACGGCGGTTTGGATGCAGGGAGGAGGATGCGCTGGAGTCCTCCGTGCCAAGCGTAGGGGCTACCAGCTTGTTTACGCAGGGATGTACAGCAAGCAGAGGGGAGCTTGGCAAATCACTAACAAAACCTGAGCTGCTTGCTGGCAGGTTTCCCCGTGTTGCCTGTTGATTGCCCGTGCCAGTCCGCAGGTGTAGCAGATCATCACGCAGCCCTCGAATTCGCCGCCTCAGACAACAGCTTCGTCCTTCAGGACTTCAACTCCCCCCACGGCACTTTCGTCAACGGCTGCCAGGTCCAAAACGCGGCCGTGAAAGTGAGTCCAGGGGATATTCTGCGCTTCGGCTCAGGGGGAGCATCCTTCCAGCTGGTGGTGGGCGCTGCTGCCCAGGTAAGGGTGGGCGCTGCTGCCCAAGGAAGAAGGGTGGATGGGGCTGCCAGGGAAGGGTGGACGGGGCTGCCAGGTAAGGGTGGGCGCTGCCGCCCAAGGAAGAAGGGTGGATGGGGCTGCCCAAAGAAGAAGGGTGGGCACTGCTGCCCAGGGAAGGGTGGATGGGGCTGCCCGAAGAAGAAGGGTGGATGGGGCTGCCCAAGGAAGAAGGGTCGATGGCTGCCAGGGGGAAGGGTGGACGTGGCTGCCCAAGGAAGAAGGGTGGATGGGGCTGCCCAAAGAAGAAGGGTGGGCACTGCTGCCCAGGGAAGGGTGGACAGGGCTGCCCAAGGAAGAAGGGTGGACGGGGCTGCCCAAAGAAGAAGGGTGGACGGGGCGGCCCAGGGAAGGGTGGACGGGGCGGCCCAGGGAAGGGTGGACGGGGCGGCCCAGGGAAGGGTGGACAGGGCTGCCAGGGAAGGGTGGGCACTGCTGCCCAAGGAAGAAGGGTGGACAGGGCTGCCCGGGAAGGGTGGACGGGGCTGCCCAGGGAAGGGTGGACAGGGCTGCCAGGGAAGGGTGGACAGGGCTGCCCAGGGAAGGGTGGGCACTGCTGCCCAAGGAAGAAGGGTGGATGGGGCTGCCCAAAGAAGAAGGGTGGGCACTGCTGCCCGGGGAAAGGTGGGGTGCTGCTGCCCAGGGAAGGCCCCGGGAGCAGGAGCAGGCTCCCAGGCTCGTCTGGGTGATCCTCGGGAAAGGTGTGGGGGGGATGGGGAAATTAAAAGCTTGAGCTCCCTCTGCTGAAGAAACTCGGGCAGTTCGGTAGGGAAAAGGAAAAGCACGGGACAGGTTTCCCAACAGCAAGTTGCACATGAGCAAGGTAGGTGTGGAAAATGTCCTTTTCCTCTATTTGCATTTTACGTTTCCTCAAAAGCTACTTACTAACAGAGAAGTTTGCTGTTGGATCAAACCTAGAGCGAACTAAAAGGTGCGGCCCTGACCGGTGCTTTGCTTGGCAGCAGCGTGCGTAGCTGGAGATACCGTGTTGTTCTGCACAGCGCGGCCAGGGCATCGCAGCTGCCCTTGGAGCGCAAGAGAAATCCAAAGCAATTGTAAACTTGGAAAGAATGTGGTCGAACGTAGTGGCAGTCTCCTGCCTCCGGGAAAAGAACGGTTTAGGGACGTCTGTGGAGGTCATTGAGCTTTTGGGTTATCGTACAGTTAAGGATTGATAAGTTCCAGTATTATTTTTATTATTTTGGCTCCTTAGGAATACAAGAAAATAGATACTGAGACAGAGTACCAAAAAACTGCGTGTGTAGCGTGCGTGGTAGTGGGAGTCGCAGAGCCTGGTCTCTTAGCAGTGCCCGTGTATGAATAAAACTTGATTGGAGTCAGCCAGTTTGTGAACCCAGATACTGGGTTTGGAGGTCTCGGCAAGATTCCTGGTGTGGCAAGCTGACCTGCTGAATCCAAAGTTGTCCAGAAAGCCTTGGCCAAGAGAAATTCAAAAAAATTCCCAGATGCGTGATGAAGCCGGAGCAGCTGGGGTGCCAGTGCTGGTTAGGTAAATTTGTTGTCGCTGGAACCGTCAGCATTTTAATTTCCAAAATTATATGTGCGGGATGCACCCAGAAAGCAGTTTTGCACCGTGACGCAGAGGAAGCCCTGTGGGTGCCTCTTCATTGCTCTGGGCTCTGTGGGTCCTCCTTTGGTGGAACGGCTTTGAAGCCTGACCCTGCTGACTGCAGAGGGTAAATCACCTCTGCGTTGCACCCTGTGAAGTGTTTATGGTGTCTAATACAGGGAGATCCCTCTCATTTTCCGTGGTATCAGAGGAACACGTTGTAAAGAAGGAGCAACACCCAGCTACGAGTCACATCCCTGCAGTGCCTCAGAGCGCAGGACAAGTGCCCAGAAAGGGACAGCGTAATGCTACGGTGGAATCCAGCCGCGAGCAAACGCCCAGGGTAGCATCATTAGCAAAAGCGACAGGGCTTAGATGGGCTCTGGGAGAAGGCAAGGTGCTGGACTAGTGGGGAGCGTGCGCTGGGGGTTTTGGCTCCGTTGAGGAAAGATGCCAGGACAACAGCCGGGTGTTGGAGGTCCGCATCCAGGCCAGGTCCCAGGCCACGCTGGCGGATGTTTAGTTCCGTTTAGTTCAGCCCTTGTAATTGAGGGCTACGTGTACGCCGACGTACGAGACCTTAATGGTGGTTTGTCTCTACCGTGCTGGAAAGCTCTGCTCATAAGGAGAATAGCAGATAGCGTCCTAATTGCATGTCTGACAGGCCCAGCGTAAGGTCTGATGGCAAGCCAGGAGTGCCATGAGAGGCTCCGGTTCAGCACGGTGAGTGGGAGAAATGACAGGGTAGGACCACTTGTGTGTGAGCCAGGAGAGGCGTGAAACGAGGGCTTCCAGATTTTGCAAACGACATGCAGAATTAGGGTAATCAAATCTAGAGAGAGAGGGAAGAGCTCAAAAAGCAGCAAACCCCAATAATTTCTTTCGATTTCAGCAAAATATTTGGGATTCCTGATTTAAATCTGATACTTGGGCAATGGAAATGGGAAAGGACTAAAATTCTGCTTCCGCTCAGATCTGTGCCTGGGTTTTGTATGACAGAATGCGCGCACATCAGGGGCTAAAAACCCTCCTAGAATCTTGCTGATATTGTGGTCTTTTTCCACCGCAGATGTCCTATCCCCCCGTGAAACGTCGCACAGCGTGGACCGGGCAGCTCCAGTTGGTCGCAGAGCCCAAACCTTCGGCTCCTGCATCTCCTCCCCACCTCCCCTTGCTGCAGTGGCAGCATCCCCCCGGATCTCCCGACAGCTGGGCTCCTGGAGCAGCCGGCCACGTGCCCCATCCGCCGCTGCGGAAGCGACCCGTGAGTGCCTGGGCTAGGAGCATGGCCACCGCCGTCCTGCCGGACGCTTTCAGCAGGACCTCCGCAGTGAGGCCAGGTACTCCCCGATGCCAAACGTGGTGGTTCGTAGCCTGCTGTTGTCTCTGAGCAACTTAGCGTTGAGTGGAGTTGATCCAAGCAGAGGCAGTTTTGAGAAGTGACGAGTGTCGGCAGCAATTGGGCGCGAGTCCTTGTCCAGTGGAGCTAATCGCAGACCGTGGGTGGTTCTCGGTGGCGTTTAGGTCAGTTAAGAAATGGGCTGTGACATTCAAAGGGGAATGCCGTTGCCCTCGTGGCCGAGAGTGACATTTCCTCTTCCTTTTTTCCTTGTGTGTGATCGGGAAGGGCAATGACTAACTTCATCTGCAGCGGTGACTCATGCACCTATTCCTGTCTCCTGTTTGAAGTGATGTTTTTTTCCTCCTTTGAGGTGCAGTTACTGGCCGCCTTGAGTGCAGGAACTTTAAACTAGGCTCACAGCTGATATGCTTCTGAAAATAAAGTATGCAATAGCGGTGGAGCAGAGGCAAGGCTTTGGGGCAATCGTACAGCCGGAGAACGAGACTTTTGCCATGAATGTAGCTTGTTATGGCCTGTTACACAATCCGGTTGTTTTTCTGGTTTGAGGTTGGGTTGTTTGAGCAGTCATAAGCAATACAAAGTCAATAGTGAAGTGCCAAAGTACAGCTGGTGCTCCAGAGCAGAGGCAGCAGTACCAAGCCCCAGCAGCATCGCTGAAAGACGCGTGCACGGGCAGAATTTGAAATTGCAGTGAAGGTAAAGGGAGGGACGCACGCGCTCCAAGTTAGCACGTACTCATTTGATTCTGGGGAAATAGAGCCAAAAGGATCCACATGCGCTAACTGCAGTGAGCATAGCTATTCACACGCGGGAAGCCATAAAAGCATAGCCTCTTTCTGTGGGGCTGGGCAACGCTGAAAAATTAAAGGAGCCTTTGTCTGCTGTGTCTCTGCTGCCCTTGAGGCCTTTTTGGTTCCCAGAGGTGTATTATTCCTCTCCGTTGTGCAGACTGTTTGCACTGGTGTCTTTTCAGTGCCAAATGGTTTCTCTTTCGGTTGGGAACCCGGTTCATGGACTGTTAAAGTAGCTGCTGCCTTAGAATAGTTTTGAGACAAGTGAGAGGGATGCTGCAAGAAGCGTTACTGCTGCCTGCAACCAGTTCTCGTGCTGACGTTTGCTGCTGTGGTGTTTGCTTTCTTCCAGTCTCGACCAGCGTCTCGGGCGATGGTGCGAGCGGTGTGGGGGGAGCCCCTTCCCTGGGGACTCATGACGCGGATTCCTTCCCGCAGGAGAAGGTGATGCTGGGGAAGGTGTGAGGGACGCCATCCCTGTCCTGGTCCTTGGCAGAGCAGGCAAACCCTGCCAAAGGGTTGCATGTCCGACCGCGAGTCCCAGCAAGGTGCAGGGACTCTCACCAAAGGGGACTGCCCCCATGGATGGGGATTGCCCCCATGGATGGGGACTGCTGGGTGGACGGAGGACATGGGCAGGGTGGGACATGAGAAGCCAGGGTGAGCACATCCCAGCAGTCGGTGGCCATGAATCGGTACCCCCCGGTGTCTCCGTAGCCAGAGTGTGACAGACAGCACCCGTAATCTGCCCGCAGGGTGAAAAGCTGCCTCGACTGGAGAAGGAAATCGGTCGCCTTTCTGGTTTGGAAACAGAATCAAAGCAGAAAGATGCAGTGATAAGAGATCTGCAGGATGAGATTGCAGCGATGGCAAAGACCCTGGCTCAGGCGGCGGCGAGGAACGAGGTAGAGCTGACCCAGAAGCTGCTCACGTTCGACCGAGAGCTGGGAGCCAAAACGGAGGAGATCAAAGCCTTGAGGGAACAGGTACTGAATGCTTCAATAGGCACCGAGCAGGGAAGATACCTCTCTGATACAGATGTACTTTTAGTTTAACACCCAGTTTTTAGGAGAAGCAGGTTGCATGTCTGAAACCAAGGGAAATGAGGGAGGGTGTTTTTTTTTTCTTCCAGTTGTTTTGTTTTGCACATTTGCTTGCTTTCTGTGCAAGTTTCCCTTAAAGAAGCTGGTAAAGAAATATCCCATGTATGTGGTAGGATCTGTAATGCTGCGGTGGGGAGGGAAACAGAAGCCTAAGCAGCCTTTGGTGGGGGAAAGGCACGCATGACGACCTCGGGCCAGGCAGCCAGACCCCTTGCTTCCCCCTCGCCCCAGGAAGGGACCGGGCAGTTGCGTTTGCAGGGGGAATACCCCTCCCAAAGGCAGCGCAGTCCCTTGGCGTCCTGGTGAAAATAGGCAGCTGGGTAGAGGAGAGAGGGCTTATAGTTGTCATGTCCAGAGGTATGTTAATAGCACGCCCCTACGTTTTATGAGACGTCAGAAAATGTCCTGGAGAGACAGTGACGGAGTCCTCCTGAGTGTCCTCCTGAGTATCCTCCGGCGTGGGAAAAGGGTCAATCTGAGGTGTCGGTCCAAAGCGAGACACGCAGGTCAGAGGCCGGGCACCTTCGCCAGCCCATCCCGGCTGCATCCTGCCCTCCCATATCATACTGGGTCTGAAGGAGGCTTTGAAATGCTTTCTGCTTGTCCTGACTGTCTGTCGTGAAGAGCAGTTTGAGAGAGGCAGGCTCCTGTTGGAGAACAGGCGATTGGGGTGCTGTCAGCATCGCTGCTGTTACTGCGCCGAGATGAGACGATGTGCTGTGCCTGTCTTCCCGGTGGCTTTCCTTTCTCTGACAAAAGCCTCTTCCACCTGTGGGTTCACTCTTCTATGCCCTCCAGTAATTGCTTTGTGAAACCAGTCATTTGAGCGGTGGGAAGCGCGTTTGTGCTGTCTGCGCGTTGTCTGCGGGGCGATGTTAGCTGAAGTGGTTATAGCACAGGCTATTCCCCGCTCCCCATTTCCAGTAGGGACCGTAAAAACTGTCTCTGCAGCAGAAATGCGAACACGAGTTATTAGCAGCTCCAGCTCTGCGTTTGTGGTAATAAATATATATGCCCTGAGAAGGCGATAAATCTGCCGGCGTTTCTGCCTGTGACCGCGTTAGCAGGGTCACCCAGCCCCAGCCATGGATTCCCAGCATGGCGGGCAGCGGGAGACAGTGCTTCTCCGTGCCTTTTATATTAGGATTCGAGTGTGAACGGCCAAAATGAACTTAAGGTCATCCTATCCGAAGCAATGGCTGCTGAGAGTTAGTCGAAGATGTTAAAGAGTAACCCCATCAAGAGTGTGACCTGGAAGCGCTAGATTTCCCCCTCCGAAGGGGGCTGTAATAAAGTTAATAAGTGATCCGGCGAGGAACGCGGGTGAATCTGTGTTTTGCAGATCAGCAACCTACAGAAAGGCTCGAGCCAGGTTTTCAGCCATTCCCTCTACGAAAGAGACCTGGAGATTGGAAGGCTGCGAAAAGAAAGCAAGAAGTTGAAGAGGGACCATGCTTTGGCTGCAGGTATTGTATCCCTGGAGCTCCGTGTTGGGGCACGAAGCCGTTTGGGACCGGCTCTTGATACTGAGTGAGCATTGGCAAAACTGTCCGGGCAACAAATGAATTGTAGCGGCTCGTGGAAGTCATCCTACCTCTGATTCTGCGTCCTGAAGCTCTGCGGGAGTTGCAGGCAGTGTCTGACATGTCGAGTGCCCCGGAGTGAGGGACAGCGTGGGGATTGAAGGCAGGGAGTGATGGGACTGAGAGCTTTGTTAGGGGAAAAAAAAGGCTCAAGCACTGATTGCAGGAAAGGTTCCGAGCTGCTCGAAAGTGGTGCCGTTTAATGGGCTGCCGTGCACCCCGTGGGGGAGATCTGCCCACCCGAGCTGCTGCGGGGCTGCACCTGGCTGCGAAGGCCACCTCGGCCCACAAGCCTTTTCCCATGGCCTTTACCTCTGCCTTTATCAGGCACAAGGAATGTAATGCGTACACAAAATATTGGCTTTCATAACGCGTTCAGATTAACAAAACTGTTCTGCTTGATTTCATTGCCCGAGGTAGGGGAGCAGTATCGGTGCTTAGCAGAGAGGAGGCATCAGAGCTGTGGATCTGACACAGTAACGCAGCAAAAACGGATTCGTAAGAGCTGCTCATCCTCCGGGGAGCATGTGCTGCGAGGCCCCGAGGAACTTCTTAGTGGCGTTGTCACGGAGCGATGTCCAGCACGGCGTGCCAAAAGCCAAATCCGCCTTTCAAGTCTGACAGTTGTCAAAGAGGGAGGATTGGCCACTCAGCGGCTAGAGAGAGGGCTTTTGCAGGGATGCGCTTGGGTAGCCTCTCACCGGAGTTGTTTTTCTCAGGTCTAGTGACCAGCCTGCAAAGGGAGATTGCCGGCAAGGAGCAGAAAATGCAGCAACTCAAGCAAGATGTTGAAAAAATAAAGAAGGAAAGCAGAGAAAAGGACAATCAGCTAGCAGTCGTGTCTGCCAAGGTGAACGTCCCTAACGATGGGCTCAGTAACTTACAGTCTCACGTATGGATTAATGTGGGAAACTAGGATGAGAAGGGCCACGCTTCTCTCTGTTAAGGAGCGTAGCAGCTATTTGTGTGGCTGTTTATCGGGGCAGTTGTAACCCGAGGGTCCTGGCTGCACCCAGATAGAAGTCGCAGAGCTGTACCACTGGGCCGTAGCAGCGATGGGGCTGCGGTTTTGTCTAGGTGCCGTGCAATGCCCACGGAGCGGTGTCGCCTTCCCCAGCTGAATCGCCCTCCTTGTTCCGCATTCAGGTAGCGTGTGCCCTGGATTTCTGTGAGCACAGTAGCTGTTTGTAGGCAAAAAGCACTCGTGCCAAGACCCTCCCGAGGAGCCATGGAAACTCCGTCTTCATGTGGCTCCCTGCAGCCCAGCCTGGTTCTTCCCTTAAAGGGAGCGGCCTGTGCAGCAGGTTGTTCCTCTGTATTTGCAGCTCCCTCCTCAACTGGCAGAGCTGCGTCGTCTGCATAATAAGCACAGAGCAGGCGCTGCGCTTCGGCTGGCTGACTAGGGCACTCTTCCAGGAGATTTCAGTGATTCACCGTGAATTTTAAGTAATGGAAAAGATACGGGGGGGCCCCTGGCGTGCAGGCAGAGGTCACCGCACCTGCCAGCCTTTACCTGGCTGAGCATCCTCCCCGAGCAGCTCTCCGGAGATGAACGATGTGGATCAACCCTTTAACGGGTGGAAAGGGGATATGTATGAGCACTCGAGCCGCTGTGTGCGGGAGGGGGCCCAGGCGTCCCGGGGAGCATCCTGCTGGGTGCCTGGTGGCACTTGGTGGCCCACAGCGTTCGTGTCGAGGCAGAGAGCACGTCCCAGAGCATCCCTCTGTGGTTTTCCCCGCTCTGTGGATGCGGGAAGGTCCGGAGGGAGGCCGGAGCTGGTGCACGTGGGCTCATGGGAGAGGCACCCGGGCGCTCGGGGCAGGCAGAACGGGGTCGGTCTCTGAAACACCGACACCCTGAAATGCAGAACTGAAAGGCACAGTTTGATACAGTGATGATTAGCCTGGAAATGGCTGTTACCATCCCGCTCAGGTTACCGTGGATGTTTTTAAGAAGCATTTGTTTCCTTTGGTCCTTTCTCCCCATCCCTGTTATACTATTTCTAAGGCCAGAGGAATTTCTGTCTGTCGGGTACTCCCTGCAGATGTTTGTCCTTCTCTCAGCCAGGCAATGCTTTAATACGGGCATTTCCAGGTGCGGATACTCTTGTGTTCTCAGTGCCTTGATGGCCCCATCATGGGCACTCCACCACCCGTTAGGTATCTGAACTCTTAGCTGGGCTGTAGCGCTGAACTATGTGTTGACGTTTGCTGCAGAAGTGACGGTATCTGCCTGCCCTGATGATTTTTTTTTTTTTTCTTCCCCTTGGTTGCCATTCATTCCAGTGCTCTAGAATTAAAGAAGAAATGAAGCATGAACTTGGAGAGCGAGAAGTAATTGCGTGCCGAAATGTGAGTCACAAGTCACTTGGGGTGATGGAGCACACGGGAGAGCAGCGACTGCAGGAATGCATCACTGAGAGAATAATTAACTGGGCATTTTAAGGGAGTTGTTTTGAATCCGGCTCCTGTAATAGAAGGCCCCTAACATGCAAAATGAACCGGAGAACGTAAATGCCTGTAAAAATTGTAACACCGCATTACGATGCAGGAGAATGGTGTCAATAATAAGATTGACATTCCACTTGAAAGCCAATCTAACTGCAGTAAATATAGCTTAGAAGAAAATTCCAGGGTAAAGGAAATGGGGAAAATATATTGGTTATCAGTTAAAATCCTCCAGAGAGGGCAACGTCCAGCCCCTCTGGTGAGACCCTGTTGCTGTTCCGGGACTCTTGCAGCGCATCGGGGAGCTGGAACGCGACCTGGAGGGGCTGCAGGGGGAAATCCAGAAGTATTGCGCCGAGCAGGAGAGCATCCAAAACCAGCTGGCCGAGAAAGCCAAGGTAACCATCCGGCTGTGGGGTATGCGGCGGAGGGCAGGGAGGGACCTCGGCCACCTGGCACGGGTGGCAGACGCGTGGGACGAGGGCCAGCGAGCCCCAAGCACGCAGGCTGTGCAGGCAGAGGGTCAAAATGTGCTGAGCTATTCCACGGACCCCGAGGGAAGAAGGTAACTTGTGCAGCAGAGACTGCCCTACGCGAGCGGTGTGTTAGAAAGTCAAGGATGGGTGACGGCCCAGGCACCAAACCCAGGCAAAAAGCAGCATTAAGTGTCCGATGCTGCAACCCCCCTCCCCTGCAAAAGGATTGCTCCTTGTCTCCTGCTATTTCAAAGCTATATTTGGAGTCATCTGATGTGAATAGTGGATAGTTGGGGTAAAAGTGCTGACGGCGTGATTTTCTGGTATTGCTTTTGATATGCAAATGCTCTCGTCGTTGCAGGCTGAGGAGGAGCTGAAAGAAGCCTGTGCCAGGCAAGCTCTGCAGCTGCAGGAGATGGGGCGCAGGGAGCGCCTGCTGACAGCCGACGTGGGGCGGGCCAAGGAGCAGGTAGGGAGGAGGCAGGGATGGGAGCATCCTGCAGTCTGGGCTGAAGGCAGCACAAGTACCGGTTTTCCCACCGGGAAGGACATCGTGCTTGAGTGCAGGAAAGGAAATGGGGAGGCCTGAGCACCAAACCCTGGCACGGGGCTTAACTTGTCGTCGGGTGCAGTATAATAGGCTTATCCACAGGATTTGTGTAGGCATCGCAGGAGATGCAGCGAGTTTAATAGGATACAGAAACGCGCTATGCTCTGTAATTTTAGTCATGCTGTCCCGGACCCATGCAAACCCTCCTCCGTGCCTAGGTAATGCTGCTCCGGGCAGAGACAGCTCTTTGCAGAATAACATCGTGCCAGATCAGCAGGATAAAGCTGTGCTTCACACAAGAAGGTCGTGCTCCCCCCCCTTAAACTGCAACACAGAGTTTTGCTAGCGTGAATTTTTTGCTAGCGTGAATTTGTTAGCAAACTCAGTCAATGAGAGGCAGAAAAAGCTATGAGCTGTTTGATTACATGTTTGGGAAACAACCCCAGGTTTTGTGCAGCGTGGAGCCAAAGGGCAAGCTCAAGCTTTCAAGGACAGATGGAGATTTTTTGGGTCTGCGTGCTGCCACGTAGGTTAGCACAGGGACAGCCATGTGTCGAAGCCCCAGGAGGAGCCAGCACCAGCTGCGATACAGAAGCGTGAAGCGCTAACCTCAGTGGAAACGGTTGTCATCTCCTGCAGAGAGGCTGCGGGTGGCATCCCCAGCTGTCCCCAGCCTGCCCCAACTGTTTCACAGGAGGAAATAGGAATCAGCCATCGGAAATCCCCGCTGGCGCGCGGGGTGGAGAAGCTGCCTAGCTCGGTTGGTCTGTCCTTTGCAATTTGTACTGGCCCTGTGTCATTGTAATCCTGCCACAGCAGTAGCAGGGCAGCAGGAGATGTTCAGGAGTCATGTTGTCCTTGGTGGCGGGGAGCCGACAGCCTCCCGCGTGCGTGGTACCGATGATTACACCTGGCACCTTATAGGCAAAGTAACGGATGTGATTGAGCGCAGTGCCTTGCTGCCGGCGGTGGGGGAGCCGTCGGGGTCAAAGGGGGGGAGTCAGGGAACCCTTGCAAAGTTGCACGGTGAAAAAGGTGCGTGAGCTAAAGCGATGTCCTGAGGGGAGGGCAGGAGCGTGCACGGGGCCTCAGTGTCGGAGATGGCAGGCACCAGGACGCCCTTTGCACTGATGTGTGCAGGGTTGGGTAGAACAGACCAGCAGAGCTGATATCGACTCTCTGGTTTTTGTTTTCATGTGTCGATCTCTGCTGTAGCTGGAGTCCTTCAAAACCCAAGTGATGCGAGTCTGTTCTCCCGCAGCGGCAGGCGTTGCAGGGAAAGCCGTAACGGAGCAGCAGGTGAGTTTGGATACCAGCACACGGAGATGCTCGGTGCCTCTGAGACTGGCATGGCTCGAGTCGGCCACCACAGAACGGCTGCAGTGCCTACTCCGTGCACAGCAGTGCCAGTAGCGTCCAAGCTTCTCCAGATTATAAGTCGTGCCACAGCTATCGCAGGTTAATGACACAGTTCCGTGATGTGAAGGAGACACGATCCTTTTTGTCCGCCAGAGCTTGGATGGAGTCAGTGGGCTGCAACAGGGAGAAGCCCAGGAGTCTGACGTGGCTACCAGCCTGCAGCAAGTCTCAATCATTGCTCGCTGAGATGATCTACGGTCCCTCAGCTGAAAAAGGGTATTAATATAATGCCTTATTCTCCTCTTCCTTCGTTTGCTTTTGCCAGGTGATAGAGAAGGTCAGGCAGATCTCTGACGAGAACCAACAAAGTCATGAGAGAGAGAAGCATCTGCAGGAGGAATTAAGCTCCAGGCTCTCGAAGGAAAAGGAGGTGTCTGCAAACGTTGAGGTGTTCAAGAAATCCCTGCAGGAGCTCCAGGTCAGTCCTTTAAATACTGATGACCAACTGGCAGCCAGGAGATAAGTGGCACAGGGCATTTTTTTGGCCGGAGGATAGGTCGGAGAAAAGATACGCTTGTGCACGAGCGCTAGCCAGCGCGCGCAGCTCTCCAGATCCAGAGTGAGAGGTGAGTGCAGCCCCGAAAAGTGTTGGTTGGAAAGAAATAGGAGGTGTCACAGAAGTGTGTCCTCCCCTGGGCCTGCCAGGAGCTGTTCCCACCAAAGATATCGGCCCGGGAAGTGTCGTGTCGTACCAAAGTGTTCACGTGGTTGTACCCAGGACTTTTTCAGAGATGTTGTGTTATTTGCCAAGTCCCAGAAACCCACTAACTGTGGAGGCTAGCTTGGTCACCAGTTGTATTTTTTCCAGGCTTGCCTGAGGAGCTCCTGCAGCAGCGACAACCTGCGAGGGGAGCTGAGGAGGCTGGAGGCAGTGTCCCTGGACCCCTCCGTCTCGGTCATCGGGGCGGCGGTGGTGGAAATGGCGCGTGTCCCCCTGTCCTGGCTGGAGGGTGTGGAGCGGCTCCTGGCCAACGTGGGGATGGACGTGCGCGCCTCCGGCAAAGGTCCGTGTCCTGCTGGGTGTCCCTGGGAAACAAACCTGCTCCAGGTGGGATGTCTTAGCTAGCCAGCCATAGAGGAGAAAGGCCAGCGTGAGTCACCGCTTGGGGATGCCAGGCCCCCACGTAGATGCAAATCTCGGGCAGTTTGGGCAACTAAGAAACCTGCTCAGGCAGCGTGCATGCTCTTATTCCCTGCCTCTGCGGCACCGGTCACCCCGTGTAGCCAGTGCCACGCGTAGGACTCTGGGGGGGGTTTGTCTGTGGGATGCGATGTCTGCGTGTGGTGGGCCTGATCTGCTGACATTGCCGTTATTCAGTCAAAGTGGGGTTTGCCTTGGTGGCATATAAGAAACACTTCTTGGCCGCGATCGCTGGCCGAGATCTGAACCCCTTGTCTCGAGGTGACGAATTACTTTGTTTTTCCTTTCCTGTGCAACCCCTGTTGTGGAGCGGCAGAGCAGCCACCGTGTGTAGCTTGCCAAAAACAAGTTTAGGTGAAGAATGCGTGGAAAGCAAAGCGTAGGTCTGTGTCAAAGCATCATGTGTTGTGGAGTGTCACTGCAGAGGAGTAATGGCTCTGACGGCAGCGTGGGAGGGGGAGCATCGCTCTCACGGCAGCACTGAGCATTGCACAGGGGTGCAGGACGTGCCGTGTGCTGGGCGGCAGCGGGGTGGAGCGGAGCGGTGTCGGCGAGGAGCTGCGAGGCCGCTGTGGTTAGCAGAGTGGTAATTATAGCACCAGGAGCATCGTGCAGCAACGAGCCATCCTTGGCTCTTGCAGAAGTGTCAGGCTTAGAGAAGACGGGGTGATGCAGCAAAATGGGTGACAGCGTGCGACAAGGAAAATGTAGTCTCCCGGTGAGAACAGGCATCTGGGCTGTGTGCACAGTCACGCTCCCTTCCAGCGATGCCTCGGCAACAGCAGCGATCTCCCAGGGGTGGGAATGTGCTGTGGTTCCAGTAAGTGTGGGGGGGCAACCCTCGGCTGGCCCCTAGGAGCCTTTCCGAGGGGATCTCTGAGCCTGAATCCCGTGACAAGAGGCTAGTGAGGGTCTCTGGGTGCAAGGCGGAACTGTTGCCCCCGGGTCTCTCCTTCCCCGATAGCCAACGCCAGCGCATCCACTGCCCCAGCCTGGGAGGGAAGCCCGCATCAAGTGTGTTTTCTGGGTATCCCAATGAGTGTGGGGGGTGACTGTGTGGGAAGTTAGTGGCGGTCCCTTCTTCTCCCTGCTGCCTATGGAGGAATGTGGACCCCCACCATCAGCCGAGGGGGGTGAGGGCCAGGGCTTGAAGGTCAGCGGTGGCCAAAGCGAGTTTTGCAAGGAGGCAAGCGGCGTCCCCAGGCCTCCGAGGATGCTCCAGGTGGTATACGTGGGCTGTGTGAGCACCCCGCACAGCGAGACTCCGTTGGCTTTTGCAGGGTTGTTGGCTGCTCTCGGGAGATTGTTGGAAAACAGTCAGGAAACTGCACAGAAGAATCGGATGTTACAGGTACAGAAACGTGTATGTACGTAAACCGAGTTGATTGGGGATCTTTCTGTCGGTAAACACGACGGTAGTCCTAAGCGAGATGGTGTGGTACCCGAATTGGGAATGTACGGCAGCAGAGGTCCCTGGGTCTGCAGTAAATGCAGGGGAATGGAGGAGACGGAGCCCGCTGTCAGCGTGTCGGTGTCTGTATCCCTAATGCGGCAAGGATGGAGGGTATATCCCGTTTTTTGAATCGTTTGTTAGTGAATGTGCACAGGATGTTTATTTCTTGCCCTGCTGCTAACACGCTTCCTTTAACACCTCGGTATCTGCTGTTTCCCCGTAGGCCCAATTAGAGAGGGCCCGGGAGTCGCAGGCAGCTTTGCTGCAGGAGCACGTGAAGGAGCTGGAAGCAAAATACGAGCAAGACCTACAGATAAAAATCAAGCAAATTATATTGGAAAAGGACAAGGAGAACAAAGAGGTACGGTGGCATGGTGGTTTTTTAGGAAAATGACTGTTATGCAGGAAAAATAGGTGTCTGTAATAGTGTCGCCTAGTGAGAGGAAGAAGTCTCTAGCCCCGAACTGCCTAGGTGCAGTCCCAAGAGCCTGGATATCAGATGTTGAAGCGGGTGATTTTAACTCCCCGAAGTATCCATGGTGGAACTGGAAAGCATCTGGGTAATGGCAGGATGCGCTGCTGCCGGTCAGTCCCTGGGAGAAAGCGGAAAGCAAGGAGCATCATCCAGATACGTGAGCTCAGCAAGGCATTACGTTGTCTGTAGTGAATGGAATGCAAGCGCACGCAGAGTTCCTCGCAAGCCTTTTGCTCCCTCCCTTCCCCATGCTGAACACCTTTTAGGTCTGTTTTGGCTGGAAAAGTATATCCCCTGTGGAGCAGGGGGGGCAGCAGCCTGGCAGGTTCTCGCTGGGTCACCCTCAGTCCCGGGGAAGCCCAGGTCATCGAGCCGATGGCGTGGGACATAGTGTTAGTAAAGGTGCGAATCGGTGTTTTGCTGCATGTCGTGATGGGGACAGCATATCGTAGTGGTCTTGTAAGACAGTTTCTAGCGTGCTGCTGTGTCTGTCGCTTCGGGAATGGTTGTTTCCCGGCATCGCGTTTTCTGAGGAGGCAGGTGAGGAGCAGTTAAGCGGCTCCTCCTTGGTCCCTCTGCTGTACCTTTCCCCAGGCGCTCTCGTCCCCTCCCTCATTGAGACACCTCGTGTCCTGCCAAAGTGTTCTCCCGCAACACGCCCCTGCTCCAGAGCAGTGACCCTCCTGGTTGCTTTCCTCATTGGGGTCGAGGTCTTTTGCCTAATGGTATGATTTTTTCTGTACTGAAACTGTGGGCTGTCAATCCTCAGATTCTGGAGAGCGCTGTCGCCAAGGAGAGGGACAAGTGCAAGCAATCCGTGGAAGAAGAAGAAAAGAAGATCCGAGACCTGGAGAGCCACCTGAGAAGCGTGACTGAGGTCAGTGGCACGCACGGGAGGTAAAGCAGAACTGCTCACACTTGGAATAAATAAATTTGAAAGTGCTCTGTAGCACGGTGGTCCATTTGGTCAGGGGGTCATCAGTGGACTGTGGGTTTTCCCCCCCCCCAAATACACATAGATGCATATCTCCAGAGAGAAAGGTGGATTCTTGCAAGCTTGTTAACTTAATTACTGCTAATTTCCTCGTGTAGGCAATAGCAAGGAAGTCGGAGGAGCAGGAGGTTACAGACTGCAAACTGAGAGAAGCTGTGCACAAGCTGGAGGAAGCCGCGACGCGAGAGGTAGTTCCAACAACCCTTGCGTGCAGAGGATGTGGCGTAGATGCGGTTTCGGTGAAGAAGGCTTCCCCGGTCCCTGCTGATGAGGGGGCAGGGCACTGCAGCCTCCCCCCTCCCTGAAATCCTTCCCTTCCCTCTGTCCTTCTGACCGCTAGCCAGGAGAGATGATGCTGATCATGATCCCAAAGGAAAACGCACGCAACGCTTCCAACCGAGATCATGCGTCTTGTTTCCTAGATGGCGTTACAGCAGCAGGTACTCATGCGAGACGAGCAGCTCAAGACCGTTCAGGAGGAGAATGAGTTACAGAGGCAGAAACTGCAGGAAGAAATAGTGGAATATAAAGAGCAAAGCAAGCAGCATTCTCTGACAATTGTGGCTTTAGAGGACAGGTTGCTGGAGGCCAAGCAGCAGCAGAAGACACTGGAGGAGGAAAATGCAGCGCTCGTGGAAAAAATGGAAGGTAGCTAAGGGTTGCATGGGATGAGTCCGTACTGGGAACCTTCTCGGTTAATGTGAAATTTAGAGAGAGATGGAGTAGTGCATTTGCTGCTATGGGAAGCATTGAGCAAGGTGTTGGTTTGAGGTTTGCCTGCACGCAGGACGAGCTCCGTGAGTCCCTGAAGAAGCCATTTCACAGGGAGTTGCACTATATTGTTCTGTGGCTTCGGGGACTGCTGGTAGCATGCCACGGTCGTAGACAGGGCTTTCCCACTGGAGAAGGGCTCTTTGCCCTCTAAAGCGACGAGACTGGAGCACTTCGGGCTGCACCCAGGCATAAGTGATCCTGAGCAAGGAAGGATGTAAGGAACTGTCCAAACACTGTTGGAACTGGGCCCTAAGAGACACGGGTTCCCAAAAAAGATGGTCCTCAGTCTTCAAAGCTGTCGTGAAGGAGAGGATATATGTAGCAGAAGCAAGCAGGCCAAACGTGTATGCGTTACAAAGAAGTAATTGGCCTCTGTTACCGTGTCCTGTAGGGTTTCGGGGTGATGCCCGCAAGTCGACATCGGGAGCTTGGCTGGAGGTTTCTCCTGCCACGGACTCGCACAGTTGTCTGAGGTAAGCAGCACTTGCTGATGGTGGTCTTGTTCAGAGGGGCTTTTGCTAGGCTGAGATGGTCTTAAGTGCATGTAGTGTCAAAGCGATGCCGAACAGCGTGTGAGTGATCTGCTGTCCCGTCCGGATGGCTCCAGGTAAGAGAGAGCGAGCTGGCAAGTCCCAGCGCCCCAGGCATGAACCCAGGGGACTGAAAGGCAGTTAAAAAAGTCACGTGTGTGTATTGATCGTGAGATGCAGCTCAGGAAGGCGTGCGCAGGCTCTGTGAAATGAGTCTTTCAAATGCACTCTGAGATTTGCAATTATCTTTCTCAGGAAATTCAGGGAGGAGCTGGCGGCGGCGCAGAGCGTGCTCCTGTCCAAGGAGGCCGTCATCGCCAGACTAACCAAGGAGCTCGCGGAAACCAGAGCCAGGATGTCGGACATGAGAGGTGGGTGAAGCGTACTGCGTGGTTTCCATCTTCCCACCCCTCTTCCGAGCAGTAACAAGGGTAGGTACTCGTGGGCACACGCAGATAATGGGAAATAAATGTCACCATCCTAAAGCAATGCTCGGGGCAAAGCAGGCGGTCCGTTCCCTTTGGGTAGGTGAATTCCTCCCTGTCCTTGGCTAAGCGACAGCAGTGATGGTGAGGGAGGGTAACCAGATGGACATCGGGTGGACAAAACTGAGGCCATCTTTCTCAAAATCCCACCGGTGGGCCCCTTTGGGTCTAAGGTAGCCTAAGCCAGTAGACTGGGAGAGCCTTGTCCGGGATTCCTCAGTGGGCATGGTTGTGCTTTGGGGAGGCTTTATGGGAGTACCCAGCAGAGCGGGTGTAAATGAGCCTGAGCCTGGAAACTAAGGGATGCGTGTGGCTTGCTCTCGCTGCCTGTAATGGTGCAATGTAAAAGTAGGGACAGTGCCTACAAGGAAGGTAAGAAGGTAGAAGTCTGCAAGTCGGGCCATGCTGGCGACCCCGTTCTTCTCCAATCTGCAGGAAAATTGCCATAGCAGGTGGTTACTCTGGCATAGGCCCACACAAAAAGACTGCTCTTGCACTGTGATTTAGTAAAGCAAGGTCTGTTGGCACGGCCCAGGATCTGAGGGCTGCTATCGAGGGCAGGGCGAGGGTCTGCGGGGCCAAGCTCCATTATTGCTGACAGCCCCCGCGAGGGTGCGCTGGGAAAAGGGGACGCATCCGTGGATGTCGTTTCACTGAGAACTGCGGATCCCCCAGGGCTGGGTGATGAGACAGCCAGAAACCCATGAAGCTGGTGTGTGCCTAGGGGAGCTGAGCGAGGAGCAGAAGGTGGAACTGGAGCGGAACCTGCGCCGGGTGAAATGCCAAGAGCGGGAACTGAACCTGCTCAGAGAGAAGCTATCCCAGATGTCCAGCCTCGCGGAGAAGAAGGATCAAGCCCTGAAAGCAGCAGCTCAAGAGTTAAGGTACGCGCCGCCGTGACCTGAGGCTCTGCAAAAGCTGCTCTGTAGATTCCCAGCAACTGATGGCATTTAGGTATCTCCCCCGGAGCAGAAGGCAAGTCTGAGAGCATCAGAATTGAGCTCGGCAACGTTGTCTCTATGGAAGTGCCATGTGAACCGAAACGGGGGTTTAGTGGAGCTCATGCCAGTGGACGTGTAACTAAGTCACTTGTAACTAAGTGAATGTTCCCACCCACACTGTGGTAGTCATCGGTGGGTGCTCAGGGTGCTGCTCTCCGCAAGCTGTTTGGGCAACCTTCATCCATCACGGTGTCCCACAACAGTCTTGTCTCTTGGCACAGGCAAGCCCAAGCCGACTGTCAGGCGCTGAAGGATGCCTCCCGAGAAACGGCGGAAAAGCCGGAGGATGCTCCTGGGACGCCAGTGCAGGCGGGTGAAGCCTCCGAGAGGGTAAGTCCGCACAGAGGCTGCCGAGGTCTGGGTTTGCTGAGAGTATCGGTCACGCACACGGTGTTTCTCAGCATCGTGGTGAGACCTGTCCATGCCCGGCCAAGCCTCAGGTCTGCTCAAAGCTGGCTGAAGGCAGAAGTGCAGGATCGCCGGCCGCCCTTTCCCTAGCCAAGGGCTGCCTGTGCTGCCTGCAAGCCGGGGTAGCCGTGCTGGCAGCGCTCCTGTGCAGGCATTGCTGCTGGCTAATGAGCTGATGTTTGTACAGCACTTCGGAGCCGTGAAGTGTTGTGTGTGCTAATGGCTGCGATAATTGCCAATTAGAGGAGATAGCAGCGTAGGGAAAGATCTGCAAGCGTTCTCTCCTTTTCCCAACCTTGCTCAGCCATAGACGCTGGCTATATTGGCGACACAGAAGCAATTATAGGGTTGAACGTGCAGGAGTAGAGGTAGCTTGTTGCACAGGACAGGAATAAATGCTCCTTGTCCTCCTGTGCTGAATTCCTCTTTCATTCCCCCGGTGCTAGAAATGGGAAGAACTCAAAGGTGGTTGCAGCAGCAGATGGAGGGACTGTAGAAATCGTACATCCTGTACCGCAACAGTGGCAGACAGCGTGCCAGCGAGGAAGGCTGGATGTGTGGGGGCCAAGCGGTGACTCACAGCCAGATGACGAGCGGGAGGTATCACCCGTCCTGTTCTGCACGTAGCGATGGGGAAGGGAAGCGCAAAGCGCTGGAGGTGCAGCCCAGCCAAAGCCGCGGTTCAGGAGCAAACCACGTCTCACCGAGCAGCGCCGCGGGGTGACGGCTGCCAGACCCGAGCGGGCAGTTTGCAGCTAACATTAGCTGTGCGCAGGGTGTGATGATGGGCCTGCCCCGTCCCAGATTTTTGGATGTTCGTCATAATGCAGGAAGCTGGATGGGGCTGGAATAGGGAAATGCACGTGTCTGTGTGCACGGGTGTAGTTTAAAAGAGAATAATGCATGAGAACGTGTATAAATGCAGGCCACAAAGTGTGTCAGTATTTGTGCATAGAAAACAGTAAATGCTCCGCGGTAGCACAAAGTGCAAGAGAAAAATGCTGACATGGCCGTTCAGAGCGGCGCACCGTCCCTCTCCCAGCTCTCTGGAGCGTTGCAGGGCTTATGTCCTCACCGGAGTGCGGCTGGTGCAGCGGAGCATGAAAAGGGGGTCTCTGACGCTGCTCTTCTACCTCACAAATCCACAGAGAGAGGGCGTAGGGTGAGACGCTCCACGGGCTTTGCTCTTGGCGCATGCCAAGTGACCAGCATCTTTCAGCGAGGCTGCGTTTAAGCCAGGTTTAAGCTGAGCTCGTGTTGAGCCAGATGCAGTCTGGGCGAGAACCGGCTGGGCTGCTTCTTCCAGGAGCCGGCGTTGGACTTGGCCGACCTCGGCGCAAAATGCCGAGGCCTCAGGCACGAGGAAACGATTCAGCGCCAAAAAGAAGGCTTGGCCGAGCTCCGGGAGAGAATAAAGATGCTGGAGAAGAGGCAGTCCTCAGGTAAGCGTGGCTGTCACTAGAAAGGGAAGATGCATCCATTTGCCTTTGGCAGACCCCGGGGTCTGCGCCGGTGGAGCACGTAATGCTAGGGAAGGCGCAATGGGCTGTGCCAGGGGCGTAGGCTCTTCACTTGCGACGGGCTCAGGCTTTTCCCTTGCAAAGTCAGCTCTCCTGTGCATGCACGTTAATCCGCGCAGGTGACAGGAAAACAGCTCTGAAGAACCCGCAGTGCAGCTACAGGCCTTAGAAAGGCACTTGGTGTCGTTCACAGGCATCAAGTGTTGGTAAGCGTATACGCGTGAGGAGGTGGCATTTGCAGGAGTCAGCAAGGAGAGGCAGCTGGCAAAGGGTTTTGCAGCGGTAGCTGCTGTGCAGTCAGAGCCAGAAGCGAGCAGGCGCCCGGCTCTGTGCACGATCGCTCCCGCGCTCGGGTGCTGCTCTCCTCAAGGCAAGAGAGAGCAGCTGTCACCTAAAGGAACCGAGCCTTGGGTGTTGCGGTCTTGCAAAGCCTTGCAAGTACTGTACGCTGTGAGAATCTTCTGTTTGCCCTAACTCGTTCTCTTCGGTCCCTTTCTGTCATGTATATCCCTGTATCGAGAGCAGTATGGAAAAGCAGTGCCATCTCTGTTAGAAGCTACAAGCGGAGTAGCAGTTTGCGGCGCAATCTCTGAATTGCCATCTGAAAAATAGGTCTGCATCCTACTTACGTAGAGAAAGCAATGCCCAAACACTCGGATAGCGATGTCCGCAGGGAAGGCTGGTGCAGGCTTTACTCCACAGCCTGTGTGTCTCTCCGTGCACGGTCTCCGTAAGGGGAAACCTGGCAAGCCTCAAAGTGGCTGAGGTATGAATCCACAGCATGTCGTACGGAGAGTGGCACGACTCGGTGGGTGTTTGTTTGCCTCCAGCTGTCGTGAACAAGGGTTCGGAGCCGCTGGTGGTCCTGATGAAAGACTTACCAGAGAAAATAGTCCAGAAAACAGGTCTTGAGAAGGAACCTGCACCCGTGTCGGGAACAAAACTGAAGGCCGGCAAGGTAAGAAGGCAGTTTGTGGTTCATGGTGCTTGTGGCTTCCTTGGAAAAGTATTCCCTGGAATAGGGAGAATTAGGCTTTCGGGTATAATAACTGAAATGCCAGGGGGGAGAGAGAGGGAGGTGTAAAATCTGGCAGCGTGCAAGATGCAGCCTAATGGAAGGCGTTGCTTGCAGAGGGTATCGCAGCTCTGTAAGGAGCTGTATATTGCCCGGCACCCTCGGCGCAGCGCTGCTCAGGGATGCCGCAGGCTGACCGGGGTGGGAGGCTTTGGACCGCGGTGTTGCCAGGGTGGTTTTCCCGTGCAGCGGAAGGGAGGCTCGAGGCAGCTCAACCCAAAGCCAGGAGACCTGTGGGCTCTGTTGCTCTTTCCCTGTCTGTGCAGGTTCCTGGCCACGTTCCTAACGGGGGCTCGCATGGGGCCGCTGATGGGGCAGCGAGCTCGGAGATGGCTGATGCGATGGACCTCGGCGAGAAGATGGTACGTCAGCGATAGACCTGTTAAAATGGTACCGAGCGCTCATAGAGGATAGATCGTTTTCAAACGCATTGCAGAAGAAAGTGATTGGCATCAGGGCTCCGCAGGAATGTGGTCGAGGATGAACTTGCTTATTGCAGGACCCAGGGCGCGCCAGGCATCTGCCAGGACACCTCGGGACCCCAGAACGTGCAATGGCGCATCCTTCTCCCCTTCCCACCTCCCCTCCCACCTTGGGAGCGTTCCCTTGGGCTGATCAGTCAGGGCTGATCCTCAAGGAGAGGTAGGGTTGGTGAGGACAGAGACCTTCACCAGCTTAGACACCTGCTAACTGATGCGAGAGAGGCTGCGGAGTGATGGAGGTGGCTGCCAGAGGGAGGTGTCCGTTGGTAGCGCACTGGGTGGGTTGTAAAAGTGGGTCTCTTCCCTCCGAAAAGGGCAGAAAAATGTCCAGCAGGGAAAATGGGTCATCTTGAAAAAGGAAAAATCCAACCCCAAAGAGTCGTGCGGCTGGGACTCGAACGCCAGGTGTGCACGGGGCTGGCCTGGAGCTGGGATGTGCTCCGGTGCGGTGTGTCACCTCTCCGAGTGCCTCCAAGCGTGCGGCCCAAAGGCACGGGTGAACCACAGCCGGCTGTATTTTTAGGAGCACTCAGAAAAGCTCGCCCAGGGAAAGCACACGTGGAAATTAAACAAAAGGGAAGGCACGCAGCAGTTTCCTTGTGACATTTTCATCTCCTCATTAGAGCAGAACGAAAGCAGATGGCTGAGCGGTGTGATGTTATGTGGCAGAGGAATTGGCAGGCCTAGTAAATAATGCATTCCCTGTTCTTCCTACAGTACCTTGACGTAATTGGTGCTCTGGGAAGCCTGATGAAGATGAAGGAGCTGTCAGGAATGCAGTCTCTGAAGCACCTTCCTCAGGAAGAGAGGGAAAAAGCGGGACTGCAGAGACGGAAGGACCTGGAGCTGCTGTACAATAAGATCAGGAACCTCAAGAGTCGCCTGGAAAGAAAAGAAGAAATGCTGAAAGATTACGAGGCCAGCGTGGAGCAGCTCAGGTACCGAAAGGCAAGGTGGCTGTTACTGGCCACGGGTCCGAGTGAGACCGAGTCCTGGGATGCAAAGTGATGGGGAACTCGGGGAAAGGAGCGGTGCAGCCCCTTGCCAGGTTGTGCGTCCGCCTGGGACTGGTCGTGTTGTGGCCACAGTATAAAAATTAAGTGTTAGGAGAAAAAGAGAAATGTCCTCTCAGTTCTCTGCGATGATGCCTTGCAGGGCCCTACGCAGTTAAGCAGTGTCAGAGAAACCTTGGCAGACTCCCTAGCCAGGGGTGGCCGGAGGAGCGGTGCAGCCCCTTGCCAGGTTGTGCGTCCGCCTGGGACTGGACTGGTCGTGTTGTGGCCATAAAAATTAAGTGTTAGGAGAAAAAGGGAAATGTCCTCTCAGTTCTCTGCGATGATGCCTTGCAGGGCCCTACGCAGTTAAGCAGGACCAGAGGCAGGCGTGGGAGCCGATGGGAAGGGCTGTCCAGACCGAAGGTGATGCTCCCGCTCCACGAGCTGCCGCACAAGGTTATGTGTTAGGGAGGAACTCCGTGGGCGCGCTTGTGCAAGCCCCGCTGCTGCTCGCTGCGCAAATGCAGAGGTCTTTGTGCCCGCAGCACCAGAAAAAGCGGTGTAGAAAGATATTTCTGGGCTGGTGTAAATAAGCTGCCGCATTCAAAGTAGGCAAGAGGCTTGACAGCAATCTCTAAGCCAGCAGTGCTGACACAGCCACCCAGAGTCCCTCTCCGGGCTCGTACGCTGAACAGAAGGGATCGCAGCCATCGCCACGTGTGGGGTGGGGTGGGTGTGAGGTGGGGGAAGCCTCAAAGAGGCGGCATCTTGGTCTCGGCAAAGGCAGGAGGAGAGGGGCTTTTCCGTGGCGTAAGGAATTGGAGCAGGGAAAACACTTGCTAAAACATGCGCAGGTCCTCGCAAGGTGGTAGCCGCTCTGATGTCCTTTGGCGTCACCCCATGGTGTGGGGGGGTCCTAGGAGGGACGCAAGCGCGATATGATGTGGCTCGAAAGCAGTATCTCCCAGGCAGAGCCCAGCTGGGGGGCGAGGGGTCGATGCGGGTGACAGACACCTCCTGTTTCACACAGCCTGAACCAAGAATCCCTGCGAAGGTGCCAGGAGGAGATGTCCAAGCTAGAAGATGAAGCCTACAGGGAGGCAGAAGAGAAGGCTCTGCTGAAAGAGGCTCTGGAGAGGACGCAGCACCAGCTGAGCCAGGAGAAGAGGCTGCTGCGAGCGGCCAAACTGCACAAGGTGAGAACGGGGGAGCAGGTGAGCAAGGCCCACGAGGACACCGGGAGCCCCAGGAGCCAAATATCCCCGCGTCCGAGTGTTCGAAGGCAGGTCACGGTGGTCAGCAGGCACCTCTGAGTTCAGCGAGGTGCTTCAAGCTGTGTCTGCCCCGATGATGCAGGAAAGGCACGAGGGATGCATGGCACAGCCTGAACGCTCAGCTGTTGGTAAGATGCCCGAGGCAAGTCCTGCAAGTAGAAGGAAGGTGACTCCTGGTGTTATGCAGAGCCTTGCAGAGGACAAGGCGAAGGAGCCTCCAGGCTGTGCCCGTTCTCCAGAAGGCAGAGTTGGGAAGGCATGACGCCCTCCAGTCACTTGGTTGCACGCAATGGAGGCGAGGCGAGGAGGGACAAGCAAGCGAGCTGTCCGCTGCTGCAGAAAACGTCTCCCCTCGCAGGGGCAGGCCCGTGATTTTGCTCTCTCTGAGATGACCGCTCAGGAGGCGTTTGGTAAATGAAGAGCAGGGGTTGTGGTGAGAGACCCCCGGGGCATCAGCGGGCTGAAAGTTGCAAGAGCGTTGTTGGCTCTAGGGATGCATCTCTTGCGTGGGGCACCTCCATGGTGTGCTTACTGCAGCCAGAAAGGCAAAGGAACCCAGCGTGGAGTCCCGGCAGAAGCTGAGAGCACTGTGTAACGCACTTACGTAGCTTTTGTGATCGGCTAGGAGCATGTGGTGGGTCTAGCGCAGTTTTCTGGCTGTTGAGTACCGCCGGGTGGCTGTGCCCTTCTGCAGCAGCGGTGGGGCAGACACCAGGCGAAGAGCTGGGAGCTCCGTGCGATACCCAACTCCCGCACTCCATGCAACAGCCAGCTCCATCTGTTAGGGACCCGGGATTTTGCGGTCGGTCTGACCATCCCAAGAGGCTGGGCGTCCCGGGGCCCTGCTGCTCAGCCGGGCTCGGCTGCACGGCAGCATCCCCGCTGCCAAAGTTGGAAGGCGATGCGTGCGTAGGCAGCTGTATCGATGGGTTTGGGCCATGTAGGGCGAGGGAGGAGGGAAGGTCACGCACATCCCGCTGGCAGTCTGAAGGCCATGCCGAGCTCTCACGGGCGAACGTGGTGTTCAATGTCTCTCTCTTCTGCAGCCTGGAGCCAAGAAGCCTTTCTGCTCGGGAAAGCTGAAGGCCAAAGAGCGCATGGCAGAAGCCGTCAAGACGGGAAGCACATAGGAGAGGCACCACGTGGGCCTTTGGAAGGCGAAGGTCCGCAGTAGGAACGGGTCGTTGCACCGTGGACTCTAATGTTGGACATGGTACGAGGTGTGGGTGCGTTTTGAGGAGCCCCTGTTGGCATCCCGTAGCTCCTGGGCGTGCTGGTGTGACTGTACGGTGTGTAGGACCTTATTTTCCCGCAGTGCGTGTCCCATACTGCATGGTGGGGTTTATGGCAATAGAAAAGGTGGTGTGGATACAGCCCAGTGTATACGTGTGTGTGTGTATATATATACACCCACGTGTGTGAATACAGCCCAGCGTATACAGTATACGTGTGAAGTCAATTGCGTGGGGTCTGTCCTGTCGCTGCTGAAGTGGCCTCGAGCACGCGAAGCCTGCACGGCTTGAATTGTCCCTTGCACTTGCAACTCCCGTGTCCTCCAGTCCCCCCTGGTGTCACGGGGGGAGTTGGAGCATAAGGCACGATGCAGTATGGAAACGTAGCACCCCAGGAACACCGGAGCGCAGCGCCGACCGGAGCCGCAGTGAGCTGCCACGTAGTAACGCTGCCACGTAGTAACGGAAAGGAAAGAAGAGGAGCCACGTTGGCATGTTACAGCAGCAGCGTGAGAAGGAGCCCGGGGAGACGAGAGCAAAGTCCCGGCCAGTTTGGATGGGGCAATGACAGGGGCTCGCTCGCCCACCCACT